ACACACACACACACACACACACACACACACACACACACACACACACAAGTTCATAGTTAGGAGAGACCCACTAAACAAGACCAGATGAGGGTGATGACAGGCCCTGTACCTGGCCTAGAAGATCCCCGCCATCATTCAGGCTTCCCTAGACAGCCTCCAACACTACCTTCAAACCACCCGCTCAGGAAGTCAGCCACGACCCTCCCAGCAGAAGAAAACTCCGTATCAAGAAGCACCTGGGTGGGCCCAGTCTGCGAAGCAGCCATCAGCATGGAGCCCATTTCAGATCCTCTGTTCCCCTCTCTTTCTGCCCCTCCCCCCCCCACCTCTCTCTCTCAAAAATAAATAAGCATTTCAAAAGAAGAAGGAAAAGAAAAGAAAACTCCGTATCAATAGTTTGGAGACTCTGACTTTGCTGGTTTGGTTTTCCCAAATTTGGCAATTCTCCTAAGCCTGCCACCCACTGAAACTGATTTTCAGCTATAAACAAATCGAATAGAATAAGTAACCTGAATGCACTGTAGTTAAAAGTACACCAAACCACACTTTGTAGACCCACTTTTTAATGGTAGACTATGCAGCAACATGGGAAAATGTTTACGATTCTTGATAAAGTGAAAATTTAAGATACTAATGCATACTTCGAGCACAACTAGACTGGAATTTGTATAGTAACAGGAGGGACGGCCCTGCAAAATAAATGGTAACAATCACTGTGGATGGAGTGAGTGGAATCATGCAATTTATATCTCTACTCTCTACTTTCTAAATTTTTATGTAATATGGTTAAAATTTCTTAATAACCAAAAAGAGCATACTTTCTTAAAAGTTCTCATCACAGGAAAACAAACTTTGTAACTATGTATGATGACAGATGTTACCTACACTTAACTGCGATCATTTCTGCTGTGTATACATACAAATATCGAAATACGTACCTCTGAAACTAATACAACGTTGTATGTTTACTACCTCAGCAAAAGTAAAGAAAGAAAAAGAAAACACTTTAATTCAAATTTAATAAAGAAATCCATTCCTGTGTTTTCTTTCCCTTTCTAGGCCACTGGCCCACCTCCTTCCTCTTTCTTCCTAACAAAGCTGTGAGGACAGTTGTACCTACTTCCTGGCCCCCAGCTTAGTGAGGAGGTACACTGCTCAAACCCTTGGGCAGATGTTATTAGCCGGTGGCGCAGAAAGTAAACTATCCCTTCCTTCCTTTTAGAACCACAGTTCTAGGGGCACCTGGGTGGCTCAGACGGTGAAGCGTCCAATTCTTGGTTTCAGCTCAGGTCATGATCTCAAGGTTTAGTGACTTGGAGCCCCGCATCGGGCTCTGTGCTGACAGCGCATGCTTAGGATTCTCTCTCTCTGCCTCTCCCCTGCACATGCTGTCTCTGTCTCTCTCAAAACAAATAAGTAAAGTTTAAGACAAAATTTAAAAAAAAAAAAAAAAAAAAAAGAAGAACCATAGTTCTCCATCAGAAAATATTGGTCCGGTTTCCCCGAGGATAGAGCAAAACTTACAATGTGAGGTGCTGTCCCCCCCAGACTCACTTTCTGGTCAAAACTATGTGTCGGTAGTGTTCTCCCTCTGATATTCTCACCTTGACTTTCAAGCACCTTGTGCAGCTTCATATGCTTGTAGGTAGAGATTATCTGAAAATTAACGACACTTGGGACACTCAGTCCTTGGTCCTGCAGCAGCTTCAGGGCTGCGGCATGAATGAGCTGATGGGACCGTTTGCATTTCTGAAGTCTGCACTCCCCTCTGACAAAGGACTTGCACACGTGAAACTTGTTGCACTTCTCCTTCATGTTGCAGTAGCCATGCAGCGCTTCCCCTTTGTTGTACAGCAAACACACCTGGCACAGAAATGAAGCAACACTTGACACGTTTGGTTGCACCGTCATTTACGGCAGTTGATGAAAGAAAAAAAAACTATTTTTACGATTTTAGTTTTAAGTCATTTCTACACCCAACGTGGGGCTCGAACTCACAACCCTGAGACCAAGAGTCACACGCTCCACTGACTGAGCCAGCCAGGCACCCTGAGAAAACATTTCTGTAAAAGAAGTGTGATCAGCAGAGACTTGGGCCATCATATGTTAAAATATAAACTAACTAAACAGTATGACACTGGTTCAGGGATGTATAGGAGATCAAGAAAAAGAGATCCTATACCTAGCCTCAAAATAAAAATATTCCTTAAAGATTTGATAGAGCTCAACAATAAAACTGTATGAGCCTCATGTTTTCTTAAAAAAATTTTTTTAACGTTTTTATTTCTTTTTGAGACAGGGAGAGACAGAGCATGAACAGGGGAGGGTCAGAGAGAGGGAAACACAGAATCTGAAACAGGCCCCAGGCTCTGAGCTGTCAGCACAGAGCCCAACACGGGGCTCAAACTCACGGACCGCGAGATCATGACCTGAGCCGAAGTCGGCCACTTAAATGACTGAGCCACCCAGGCGCCCCAAGCCTCATGTTTTCTTCTAGAAGACTTTTTAACTAATATGTGGTTCCGTGCGATTTTAAATTTTTTATCTTTTTTTTTTAAATGTTTATTTATTTATTTGGGGGGGGGCACAGAGAGAGGGAGAGAATGAATCCCAAGTAGGCTCTGTGCTGCACAGGGCCCAACTCGGAGCTCGATCTCACAAACTGAGATCACGACCTGAGCCAAAATCAACAGTCAGTCACTTAACTGACTGAGCCACTCAGGCACTCCTAACTTTTTTATCTTAATGCTTTTGTTGTTCAAAAATAAACACTATTCTGGCTTTCTGTATTTTCTTAAAACAGTTTTTTAATGTTTATTTATTATTATTAGTTTAATGTTTATTTTTGAGAGGGAGATAGAGCGTGAGAGAGAGAGAGGGAGACACAGAATCCGAAGCAGGCTCCAGGCTCCGAGCTGTCAGCACAGAGCCCAACGTGGGACTTGAACTCATGAACCACAAGATCACGACCTGAGCTGAAGTCAGACGCTTAACCGACTGAGCCACCCAGGTGCCCTATTTATTATTTTTGAGGGAAATAAAGTGATCAGGCGAGGGGCAGAGAGAGAGAGGGAAAGAGACAGAGAGTCCCAAGCAGGCTCCACACTGTCAGTGCAGAGCCCGATGCAGGGCTTGAACCCACGAACAGTGAGATCATGACCTGAGTGGAAATCAAGAGTCAGACGCTCAACCGATGGAGCCACCCAGGCAACCTGAAACCGTTTGGATGAGTCATATTTTTTTCTAGAAATGTGTCCATTTCACTGAAGTTTTCAAATGTATTAGTATCACATTGTACGTATTTCCAATGTGTGTTTCTCTCAACACCACCAAGTAATTCTCAGAGGACAATGACCAGATGTCCCACAGATTTGAACTCCCCCCGAATACTGTCTACCCGGACATAGCGGCAGATCCCACAGGTTAAGGGCTCAGTCTCACGAGGCTGCCCCACTTCAAATGCCCATCTGTTGCTGCCTGAACTGCTATAAAGGTCATCACCACCTCCTCCTCCAGTTAATGTGCCAAAACAGCTCACAGGAGTCAGATGACCACTTTATTATAAAATGATATAACCCGGGAACACGCAGGTAGAAGAGCCACATGTGGAGAGGTGAGGGGAGAAAAGGTGTGGAGCTTCCATACCCTCTCCTGGGGCCTCACTCTCCCAGCACCCTCCGTGTGCTCACCACCCTGCACGCTGTCTGGAGGTCTGTCCTTTTGGGTTTTTATGGAAACTTCATAACACAGGCATGATCGATTACATCATGGGCCACTGGTAAATGGACTCCATCCCTAGGCCCCTCTGCCTTCCCAGGGGGTGGAAGAGTGAGGGGGAGGGGATAAAAGTTACAACTCTCAGGGCGCCTAGGGGGCTCAGATGGTTAAGCATTCGACTCTTGGTCTCGGCTCAGGTCATGATGTCACAGTTCATGGGGTTGAGCTCCGCGCTAATAGCACGGAGCCTTCTTGGGAACCTCTCTCTCCCTCTCCCTCTCTGCCCCTCCTCTGTTCACACAATCTCTCTCTCTCTCTCTCTCTCTCTCTCTCTCTCTCAAAATAAATAAATAAAGTTAAAAAAAAGTGTTGGGAAAAAAAAAAGTTGTTCTCCTGACAACCAGCTCCCGTCCTTAGGTTACCAAAGGGCTTTCCAAAAATCACTTAACAACAGACACCTTGAGAGCTCTCATCATGTAGGAAATTCCAAGGGTTTTAGGAGCTCTATGTCGGGAATGAGGATGAAGACCAAAAATATAGTTATCATTATAACCATAAGATCACAATGTTTGTCCCTATCTTCTTTTTATTACGTGATGTATCTGTTCCTGTGTACTGTGTCTTTAGGAGAGTGGTGGAAAGGGGTCATAGCCATTTCCATACAAGAGATGTGGGGCACCATTCCTGATTCCTCCGTGGTCCCCGCTACCAAAGTGGCCATGCTGCGTGTCACAGGATACATACCTCCAGTGCCGGGTGACAGGACCAGGGGTGGGCTCCTGTCCCAAGTGCAGCCAGCCCACTGGCTGCTCACAAAACACTGCGGTAGTCGGGTATGACAAGACGAGGCTGGACCCAGGAGAGCAGGCATAAGCCATAAGGAAACGGGCTCAATAAGTTCAACAATGTAACAATGTTAAACATCTGTTAAGTCAAACAACATCATAAAAACTAAAAGGTTGGGGCGCCTGGGTGGCTCAGTAGGTTGAGAATCCGACTTCAGCTCAGGTCACGATCTCACGGCTCGTGGGTTCGAGCCCCGCGTCGGGCTCTGTGCTGACAGCTCAGAGCCTGGAGCCTGCTTCGGATTCTGTGTCTCCCTCTCTCTCTCTCAAAAATAAATAAACGTTAAAAAAAAAATTTTTTTTTTTAACTAAAAGGTAACTAGAAGTGTCGCCAACCCTTCTCTCTCAGAGAGGAAGGACTGGACGGGACCCCAGTTACTGCCATTCTCTTCTCCCTTCCTGCCAATAACCTGCTCCAGCTGCGGCTCCGGGTCCTTCTGGCAAGATCGTTGGAATGTATCTGGCTTATAACCATGACTGATCAAGTCTGGCTTCAAAGCCCAAAGAAGTGAGAATGGAGATGTGGATGCCAAGAATAAACCCCGTGGCTAAGGCTGACTCCGGTGCTGCCTTCCACATACAGATTCTACTGCCTTGAGGGCGGCCTTTGCCATCTCACCAAAGGCTCCAGCTCATACCTCCAAACTTGTGACTTCCTTCCCTTCTCGACCCTGAACTACCTTAGCATTAACGGGGCACCACACTCACAAACTACGCTCCGGTTTCCCAACATCCCCCCTTCTTCCCACCCCACCCCTCTTCTGGCAACTTGAATGTCTACGACAGCATCGGTGCTAGAGTAGAAAATTCTACTTTTCACTGGTGGGCTCTTGTAATATTTTCTTTGGGGATTCCAACTGTTTTGTTTTCAAAAAGTCTTTGTGTATAGCTAAACAGATACAAATATGCTAATTTCACCATGACAGCAGTTCTAATGGGCACTGGTTAAACATTTGGAACTAAATCATTTCAAAGCAATTAAAATTGGTATCTAAAGCCCCAAGAAAGTAAATGGGGAGGATACTTTCAACAAACGTGACCACAAAAGGGACCTGTATCATTACAGACATCTAACAGGGGCGCCTGGGTGGTTCAGTCGGTTAAATGTCTGACTCGTGATTCAGCTCAGGTCATGATCTCAAAGTTTCGTGAGTTCGAGCCTCATGTTGGGCTCTGCACTGAAAGCATGGAGGCTGCTTGGGATCCTCTCTCTCTCTCCCTCTCTCCCTCTCTCTCTCTGCCTCTCCTCCACTTATACAACCCCCCCCAATAAAAAAACTTAAAAAAAAAGACACCTTATCAATTAATAGGAAAACAAATGCCTCAACAGAAAAATAGGCAAAAGCATAAACAGGCAATTCACAAAACACAGGCTTCATAGACAGACGTAAATTTAAATCTGCTATGTACTATGTGACCTTGAGCAAGTTAATGTAGCTGAGTCTCAGTTTCCTCACCTGTAAAACGGGGACACGTTTAATGAGCTAAGATATGTGAATGACTTAGCCTTCAGTAAGCAATCAAAAAACTAGTGGCTAAGAGCGCCTGGGTGGCTCAGTTGGAGCCTCCAACTCCTGGTTTCAGCTCAGGTCATGATCTCTGAGTTCGTGAGTTTGAGATCTCTCAAATGGAGCAGAGCCTGCTTGGGACTCTCTGTCTCTGTCTCTCTCTCTCTGCCCCTCCCCCACTTGCTCTCTATCTCTCTCAAAAAAATAAAAATAAAATAAACTAGTAGCCATTTTCGTTATTTCTTTACCACACGCATCCATCACTCCTTGTGGATCAAAGCCTAAAATCACAGAGACTGCATAAAGGTCAGCACTGCACCATAACCTCCACCCATACACCTGACCTCTACAAGGTGACTTTTGATGTTCTCGATCTCCTTCATCATGCATTCAGTATGAGGGTGAGTTCTTGGTAACTCACCTCTGGTAAAAGGCACGGGTCATTCTGTAAAAGCAGGATCCGAAGCTGGGCCTCGTTGAGGCCAAAAAGCCCATGGTTTTTCAGAACTTGGATGTTGACGGGTGTGTGGATATCATGGGAAAGGGTACAGGTAGACCTAGGAGAACACAGAGCTCTGGATCAGAGGCCCAGGTGAAGGGGCCAGTCCGCCAAATTCCTGGCCTTCGACTCACGTGTGAAGTTAAACAATTTTCCCTGAACCCAAAGATACACCACAGCTAATAAAGCCAGCACTAATAATAAAAAAGCCGAGGGGAAGCCACTCTCCTCCCAAGGTCACTTGCATTTTAAATCGGGATGCCTGAAAGCCAGCCAAAGGCACCCCCTGCCCCAGTCACCTGCCTCGATGCCTTCTGTTGTTGGCCGGAAGGTGACTGACCGTACTTCTCCACCCCGAACAGCTGCCCAACCCCCACAGTCCACCGACGTTGGGAGTGAAGTGTGCCCCCGACCCCGCTTTGGGGAGCCTGAGTGAACCAAGGATGAACAGAGGCCTCAGAACACCGCCCTCGGTTTCCTGGGGGTCATTCCAGATAGGGCTTTCTAAACCCGGTGAGCACCGACTCACTTGGGTAAAACTTTGAGGTTACGTGCAAAGAAAGGAAGGGCACTCTCGATAAAGGGTCCGAGGACCTCATAGGTCCGCAAAAGCCCCCCAGTAGGACCACCGCAGTAAACGAACTCAAAAGTCCCAGTCCGGATTTCCCGCGGCCGCGCCGCGAAGGTTTCCGCGGGCAGGGGCTGGACTCCGGGGGGGCGAGCAGCGGTGAAGAAATCCCGACCGATCGGGACGACTTCGGGCCTCGCTCCGCGCCGGAGCTGGAAACGCAGGGGAGCCCCCCTCCCCCACCGCCGAGGACGCCGCGGGGGCCCCTTCCCGGGCCTTCCCTTCCGCCCTCCGACGGCGGGGCGGGGTGCACCCCCCGAACGCGCGATCCCTTTTCTCCTTCCCCCGGGGCCCCGCTCCCCCGCCGCCCGCCTCACCAGCAGTCGCGGTTCGGGCACTTGCCCAGCATGTGGCGGCGGCAGAGGTGCAGCTGGTCGCAGGCCTGGCACTCGCCGCGCTGGTAGCGGGCGCACAGGCGCGCGGAGGACACGGCCACCACCCGCCAGGCGCAGGGGCCGCCGCCCGCGCCGCCCGCGCCGGCCGCCGCCTCGGCCTCGGCGTCCCAGAGGCCCTCCCTCATCTCCACCTCCTGCAGCAGGAAGCGGTCGGGCCCGGCCTGGCGCAGCACGTCCCGGAGCCGGGCCTCCGAGAGCTCCACGTGGCCGCGCAGGTCCCGCAGGAACATGCGGCCGCCGTTGGCGCACAGCACCTTGGTGAGGAAGGAGCACACCGTGGGCTCCGCCATG